CATCATTAAACGTAAGATTGAAATGGTTTGAACCGCTTATATACCGGACACCAGTGCACGGAATCTCAATATATTGTGTCTGTTGTCTAGTGATTGACTTTATTGTTGAATTATCCAAACAGTAATAACTTTCATTGGCTGTGAATAGTGTTGGAGTGCCTCCCGGTCCAACTTAATGGTTAACACAATATTGTTTAAATACACGTTAAATCTGTTTGACTCAAATTGAGATTTAGAGTGTCTATCAATGTATACAAGTTTTTAATATTTAGTTAATTCTATAGTTATCGCAATTCAATATTCTTTGTAAATTAAGCCAAAGCTCTACTTTTGTCTTAAAAGTGTATAACAATTAAATTTAATTTTAAGCATTCGATTCTTTAATATTATATTAATACAATTAATATTTATTATACAATCAAAATAATATGAATTTACTCACAAATTGGATAAATTGCATCAGTTTTGGTGATCAATGCAATAGAAATGGAAATCAATATAAAATATACAACACATATAAATAGAAATGATTTATTCATTCCTTGTAATTATGAAATTTATAAAATATAAATTTATCGAGAAATAGGACTAATATTTTAATTAAGTTTAAAATATGTTTAAAAATAAAAAAAATTTAGAAATAAGTTCATTGACATAACTTTAAATGTAGTTTTAATTTCATCATTTAATTTCACATAGATTTTACGTACAATTTTCAACATATATTTTGTTTAGTTACTGAAAAAATAAATAACAACTTGTTTAACTTAAGTAATTAACTATTAATTCAAATGGTTTACAAATAAAATTATATGAGAATAAAAGTTGAAACGATAGAAATAATTCAAAGCATTTTTGCATTTTACAGAACAGATCAAATGATTACATTTAATACATTAACGCTATACTAATGCTATATAATATAGTCTTAAATATTAATTATAATAAATGGATTACTTCCCGACTCGTCCAACACGGCCTCCACGACGACCCCTTCGCGCCCCCCTATCCTTTCCGGTGCGACCCTTTCCTCGACGACCAGAAGCGACACCTTTATTACCGGTCCCGCCATTCGCCTGACCCTTCACTTCATACACTTCTATAGTATATCCAAACATTTACTTTAAGTTAGGATTATATTTAAAACAATTTAATACACAATTACCAGTGATTAAGAGACAGACAGCCATTAAAATGATCAATACTTTAACATCCATTTTAAAGATTGCAAATTTTGTCGTTCATCTGTCAAAACGTTAAGAAAATGAAATGATGTGACAACTATTGACATAGACGTAAATCTATTGATTGATTCAAAAGTAACTTCACGTCAATCTTTAGAAATGAATAACAATATAAAGATGTAATTCTTATTAAGCTTATTGTTATCTAGTTTTAAGTTAATTAGACATTTGCGTGCCGTGTGTTGTGAACATTAAAAATATTTTTCTTAAGTTTGTAATAATAAGTATTGATTTAATCGCTATTATTATGTGTTTTTCGCATTATTTTTAATTGTTTATATTGTAGTCATACAGTAGCTCAAGATTTTTAAATATTTCAATGTTAGTACATTTACAGTGAATTTGTCTGATATTTTTTATTTAGAATATCACGAGTAAAGTACTGTACAAATCAATTGTAATTAACATGTGACCAGTCGTCTACTGAAAAAAAAAATCTGGTCACATTTTAAATCTAGTTGACTGATTTATCTTTATTTTAGAGATAAAAGTATAGGGTTAAATATTTTATATAGTCGGTGTTGTCACCACCATCGGTAAACAGACAGTGAAGTGAATAATGTTAACTTTACATTAAGTAAATTACATTAATTACATTAAATTTTTAACTTACGTTTCGATGATTTCGTCTAAACACGTCTGTATTGGAAATCAGCTTTTGTTGTATGCATTACGTGTCTAAATATCAATAAATTCAATTCAATTCAATTTGCATTTTCAGAGTACAGTATAATCTAATTTTTTAAAGTTATTCAGTATAACCATTCAATAATAAGAATTAAATACAAAGCGAATAAATATCACCAATAATATTGTCATTAGACTGGTCACATGTTATTTAAGTGTTAGCTTGGTTAAAGAATTTGAATGTCCAATGGTTATATTAATACAGTACAAGAAAATATTTTTATTATATTAAAATTAGTAGTTTACAAACAATATTTTTATCATTTTAGCCAGTATTTACTGCAATATTTTTATAAGCATCTATAAGAATATGGTATAAATCGATCTACATTTAGTTTATTCAAAAATAGAGTATTTAGTAATAATTTAGAATATCTAAATAATTTATATACCATGATAATATAATAATAATAATATAGTATAGTATGGGTCCAAATGAGTGTTTCAATGACCGCTTTTCTTTCCTTTGCCATAACCTCCTTTATGTCCGTAATCTCGACCTCTTCTGTGTCCGTAAACCTTCACATCTTTGCCCTTTTGATGTCCATATCGTCTATCCTTTCCGTAACCCTTTCCGTCAGCATTGACTTCAGTAACCACTTTAAAACCAATTAGAATTATAAGTTTATAAATGCTCATTAAAAGTAGGATTAAATATGATTATAATACCTGATATAATTAGACAAATTGATAAAATAACAATTAATGCTTTATAATTCATTTTAAACACAATTAATGGATCAAAACAATATGATCAAAAATTTAATTTATATGAATTCTTAGTGGATATTAAACTAAATGTTGAATCAAAAGAATATTTTAGAGAAATATATAGTGATGTTTAAAAGTCTAGATTCTAGACTCTAGAAGGAAATATATTTTGTCAGTAATCATAAAAATACATTTTAACCAATAATTTGTAAGTTAAGAAATAAAAAATTATACAAATTGTTGGGAAATTTACTATTTCTATAATTAATACTAGAATGCAATTTACATAAATTATATGTTATTTGTTAACTGACAT